CCACGTAGAAATGAATCTATCGTACTGCCTGGTGCAAAGACTTTAAAAGCTCGTATCATACACGATATCAAGTAATAAATTCTAATGTGAGTTCTTAAGGGCAGATGAGACCAAATCACTTAGTTTTTCTGATCGTCATTTTCAGAATAATTTAATCCACTCTTGAAATCCTTCAATAAAGTTGTTCTTTATTTTACTAAGATTACTCTCTACTTCTTGAATGACCTTGAATGACATAGTAACGGCAAAGTCGAGTATTGAATAAAGTTTTCCTTCAAACCCCTTCTCAGGTTTCAATTCAAACTTTTAAAAGGTTTTAATTTTAAAGAGAAAAAACAACCGAAAAAAAATTATGTTTCTCTTCGTCTCTTGAAGAATAAAAAATATTATGGCAACTCTCACAAAATGACTGAGATTTTTATTATCAATAATCGCACAAGCTTATTCTCTTCCAAGCCAAATGAAGCTTAAATTTTCATTTATAATGAACAGCTACAGTTCGGTGTTCTCAGTATTCTAAAAACCTTCTTGCAAAAGACAAGACTTCGCGAAAGAAGAGAAAACTCAAGGAAAATGAGTGTTTTGCAAATTTTTTCGTATGTATTGGTTACGTTAATAACTATCGCTTACTACTTTATACGACGTCACCAGACGTATTTCGCAGTGCATAATATACCGCATGAAAAACCCGTTCTATTCTATGGTAATATGAAAAAGGTGGGTAATAGCCAGCACATAAAGGAACCATTTTTACATTTGTATAAAAAGTTCAAAGCTGAGGCGCCGTTTGCCGGTTTCTATTTATCAATACGCAAAGCGGTAGTCTTATTGGATTTGGATTTAATTAAACGGATCTTGATAACCGATTTTAATGAGTTTTCACATCGCGGTAACTACTACAATGAAAAAGATGATCCTTTATCAGGACATTTATTCAATTTGGACGGTCCCAAATGGAAACTAATGCGTGCTAAGCTGACGCCTACGTTTACTTCGGGCAAAATGAAATTTATGTTTAGCACGGTTGTGGAAGTAGGTCAGAGATTTGTCGAAGTGCTAAAGGAAATGTTGGAAAAGGAACCGCATGAAAATGGCGTCGAAATACGAGAACTCTTAGCTCGGTTTACTATAGATGTCATTGGATCTTGCGCTTTCGGTCTCGATTGCAACAGTCTTAAAGATCCGGATGCTAAATTCCGTACGATGGGAAGGAGAGCCTTGACGACGCAAAGACATGGACGTTTCGTAATGGCTTTCATGCAAGCTTTTCCCAACATTTCAAGACGATTGGGCTTGTGCATGGCGCTAGACGATGTGTCAGATTTTTTCATGAAAGTCGTTAAAGAAACGGTGGAATATCGCGAAAAGGAGCATGTGCAACGTAATGACTTTATGAATATCCTCCTAGAGTTAAAGAAAAGCAATGGCATGGAAGGCTTGTCATTAGAAGAAATAGCCGCTCAATCATTTGTTTTCTTTTTGGCCGGCTTCGAAACGAGCTCCAGTTCGATGGCTTTCGCTTTATATGAATTAGCAGTTAATCAGCAAATGCAAGAGCAAAGCAGACAAGAAGTCCGTAGTGTATTAGAGAAATACAATAATATCTTAACTTATGAGGGCTTAAAAGAGTTACACTATCTGCAGAAAGTGTTAAATGGTAAGCAAAAAGGAGCAAAGGGTAACGAGAAATATTGAAATATTTTCCTCTTTTCATAGAAACCCTGCGAAAATATTCCATTGCTACAATTTTAATTCGGAAAGCATTAAATAATTATCAAGTTCCTGGCAGTAAACTAATTATTGAAAAGGATGTAATTGTTATTATACCCGTGGATGCTATACATCACGATCCTGATATTTATCCAAATCCTGAAGAATTTCAACCAGAACGTTTCAATACGGATCAAATAAACCAACGTCATGCGATGTCTTGGTTACCATTTGGCGAAGGTCCACGTAATTGCATAGGCCTGCGTTTTGCTAAACTTCAGGCGATGATAGGCCTGACTTTATTATTAAATAATTTTTACTTCACTCTAAGCCCACAAACGCCTGTGCCCATGATCTTTGATCCCAAGTCATTCGTACTGGCGCCTAAAGGCGGTATTTTTTTAAATGTTGAGCGAATATAATAAAGAAAACAATTTGAAAAAGTATTTGAAAATAACTGAAATTATTTAAATAGAAGTTCTTGTATGTAAATTAATGTAAATAAATATCAAAAAAGAATTTAAACAGCGTAACATTCTTAAAAAAGATGACTGTCCTTTCAGATCCGAGACTTACTGACTGATATGTTAGAAGCAATCAACCTCAAGAAGACGAAGATGTGCCCATTTGCATGGCAGGATAAGGCTGCAGTGTACTCGCTCGTGTGCAATCTTTTCTTTTCTTCTTGGGATGGATGGAAGGGAAATAATAACAAAAAGCTTTTTTGGGGTGAAAACTGAGTGCAAAGATGAACATCCAAGTTAACGGGACGCTGTGTTCCCTTTCGTGTTGTCCCTTTTCCCAATTAACATTGGACAATGAGTTTTGCAAACAACGCAACACTTTGCGGCCGTATACATAGTACACTGCCAAGTTTCAAGCGTTTGCTTGATATTGTTATGTCCAATAGATTTTTAACCACGTAGAAATGAATCTATCGTACTGCCTGGTGCAAAGACTTTAAAAGCTCGTATCATACACGATATCAAGTAATAAATTCTAATGTGAGTTCTTAAGGGCAGATGAGACCAAATCACTTAGTTTTTCTGATCGTCATTTTCAGAATAATTTAATCCACTCTTGAAATCCTTCAATAAAGTTGTTCTTTATTTTACTAAGATTACTCTCTACTTCTTGAATGACCTTGAATGACATAGTAACGGCAAAGTCGAGTATTGAATAAAGTTTTCCTTCAAACCCCTTCTCAGGTTTCAATTCAAACTTTTAAAAGGTTTTAATTTTAAAGAGAAAAAACAACCGAAAAAAAATTATGTTTCTCTTCGTCTCTTGAAGAATAAAAAATATTATGGCAACTCTCACAAAATGACTGAGATTTTTATTATCAATAATCGCACAAGCTTATTCTCTTCCAAGCCAAATGAAGCTTAAATTTTCATTTATAATGAACAGCTACAGTTCGGTGTTCTCAGTATTCTAAAAACCTTCTTGCAAAAGACAAGACTTCGCGAAAGAAGAGAAAACTCAAGGAAAATGAGTGTTTTGCAAATTTTTTCGTATGTATTGGTTACGTTAATAACTATCGCTTACTACTTTATACGACGTCACCAGACGTATTTCGCAGTGCATAATATACCGCATGAAAAACCCGTTCTATTCTATGGTAATATGAAAAAGGTGGGTAA